GTTCGACAAATGTTGCATACACGAAACTTATGTCGAAGATAGAATTATGGCACATGAGATTAGGCCATGTCAGCGAAAGAGGTCTGGTCGAATTGGGGAAGCAGAACCTGCTAGGAGGTGACAAAGTCGAAAAGTTGGAATTCTGTGAATCTTGTGTATTTGGTAAATCCTATAGGGCGAAGTTTAACAAAGGCAAGCAAAGAACACATGGATCCCTAGATTACATTCATGCTGATCTTTAGGGTCCTGCAAGGAATCCTTCACACTCAGATGCAAGGTATTTTCTATCCATCATTGATGACTATTCTAGAAAGCTATGGGTATTCATTCAAAACACGAAGGATGAAACTTTTGATAATTTCAAAAGTTGGAAGATTCTGGTCGAAACTCAAACTGGCAGAAAGGTTAAGAGGTTGAGAACCGACAATGGCCTTGAATTCTGCAACGAAGTATTCAACAATTACTGTGTTGAGTCTGGGATTGCAAGGCATAAGACTGTAGCAGGTACTCCTCAACAAAATGGCTTAGCTGAGAGATTCAATCGAACAATCCTTGAAAGGGTTAGATGCATGTTGGTTAGTGCTGGATCGAAGAAGGTGTTTTGGGCGGAAGTTATTTCGACAACAGCTTACCTGATAAATAGATGTCCCTCGATTGCCTTGGGAATGAAGACACTTGAAGAAGTTTGGTCGGGACATCCACCTAGTCTCGACAGACTAAGAGTATTTGGTTGTGTGGCCTGTGCTCAGATTAGGCAAGACAAGGTCGAACCTAGAGCTCTGAAGTGCATGTTCATGGGATACCCTGAAGGAGTTAAAGCTTATAGGCTATGGTGCCTAGAGATAGGTCACAGGAGGTGTATCACCAATCGAGATGTAGTTTTCAATAAAGTAGAGATGGCTTTCAAGAAAACTGATGATGCTGACGAAGAGCTGGAATAGGAAGAGATTCTTGTTGAGGTGGAGCATGTTGATGCTGAATTGCTTACCCCAGATGAAGTCGAAGAAGACGCAGAAGATGTTTTCAAAGATGAGGAGATTGGTAATGACTGTCTGCTAGCAAGAGACAGGTCGAGGAGAGTCATCAAGCCACCTCAGAGACTTGGTTATGCAGATCTTATATCTTATGCCTTAATCTCTGCTAGTGAGGTTCTATATGAAGAACCTATAGACTATAAGGAAGTTATGAGGAGTCGAAAGAAGACTGAATGACTGAAGGCCATGGATGATGAGATGAAATCTCTTCATGATAACAAAACCTGGGAACTGATCAAGAAACCTGTTGTAGCCAGCTTAGTCAGTTGTAAATGGATTTTCAAAGTTAAGGAAGGAATAGAAGGAGTGACGTCAAAGAGATACAAGGCAAGATTGGTTGCTAGAGGGTTCTCTCTTGTTGTGAAGCACAGATCCATTCGAATGTTGCTTGCCATGGTGGCCCAGTTCGACCTTGAACTGGAACAGATGGATGTGAAGACTGCGTTCTTGTATGGTGATCTAGATGAAACAATCCTGATGAGGCAACCTGAAGGGTATGTCGAAAGGGGGAAGGAAGATTATGTGTGCAAACTGAATAGATATTTATATGGACTGAAACAATCTCCTTGACAGTGGAATAGGAGATTCGACAAGTTCACGACACACATAAGTTTCATCAGAAATCAGTTCGACCACTGTGTTTACTTCAGATTTCGACCAGGTAATTCATTTGCTATTTTGTTGCTCTCTGTGGATGATATTCTAATAGCAAGCAACAATGTCGAAGAGGTAATGAGGGTGAAGGCTGAACTCAATAAAGAGTTCGACATGAAGGATCTGGGAGCTGCGTCCAGGATTCTTGGGATTGACATCTGGAGAGATAGAAAGCAATCAAAATTATGCTTATCTCAAGAGGCATACCTACAGAAGGTTCTCGTAAAGTTTGGTATGTCGAATTCAAAGCCTGTTGTGACTTCGACAAACCCTCAATTCAAGTTGAGTATAGATCAGTGTCCCAGCACTGATGTTGAAAGAACTTATATGAATAGCATTCCATATGCTAACATAGTTGGTTCTTTGATGTATGATATGGTCTGTACTAGACCCGACATAGCATATGCAGTAAGTCTTGTAAGCAAGTACATGGAGAATGTTGGAAAGGCTCACTGGCAAGCATTGAAGTGGATTTTAAGGTACATAAATGGGTCTCTGAATAGAGTTTTAATTTATGCTGGAGCCTTGGGTGAAGATAGTAAAGCAGCAATCGAAGGATATGTCGACTCTGATTATGCAGGTTATATGGATTCTAGAAAATCTATCTCTGGATATGTGTTCACTATGTTTGGGACAGCAATCAGTTGGAAAGCAACACTTCAGAAGGTCGTTGCCTTATCAACCACTGAAGCGGAGTATATTGCCTTAGCTGAAGCTGTGAAGGAAGCATTGTGCCTTGAACGTTTTGCAAAGGAGCTAAAACTTCAAGTTGAGTTATCACTATTAAATGTGATAGTCAAAGTGCAATACACCTGTCGAAGAATTCAGCCTATCATGAGCGAACCAAGCACATTGATGTGAGGTTGCATTTCATCAGAGGGGTAATCGAGCGTGGAGAAGTCCAAGTGCTGAAGGTTTCGACAGATCATAATGCTGCTGATATGATCACCAAGACGTTATCCAGTTGCAAGTTTTTCCACTGTATGCAGTTAATAAAGCTGCATGAAGAAAGCTAGTTTCTTGATGTTATAGAGTCATATCCAAGATGGAGATTTGTGAGATGTTGGATCAAACTCTAGTATGGTCGAAGTCTGTTCGCGAGTAATGCATGTTGTAGTCGAAGTTTGTTCTAACATGCATTAGTCAATATTGCTGGGGTTGTTAGCAATGTTCGCGAGTAAGCCCAATTGTTTAAGTTAGTTTGTACCCTAAGTTATCTTGTAATGGATAATTGTTAAAAAGCCCATTAGGTTAGTGTGCTATTTTATTATAAATAGGATGCTAGTTTCTCAATCTTGGCATAAGGAAAAATAGGAAGATAAAATCCTAATTTCAAGGGAGATATGTTATTTTGTTATTCTTGTATACTTGTAATCTTGTTCTAAGAGAAAGGAAAGAATAGCAGTTTAATAACCAATCTTTGTTGCTTTCTTCCTTATTAACCTTAATACTTGTGTGTTTCTTGATCACAAAGAAACGGTTTATACCTAGTTTGAAGGTATCCGATTCACAACATATTTTTTGTTTTTATCATTTATGTATACTTTCAAATACTCTTTCACATATTATTTTTTCTACTTTTTGATAATGATAAAGTGGGAGAAGAAACCATATATTTTTTGCATGCTTGTACACTAATATTTTTTTAGGAAAAATCAAAGAAAGCATGGATTGTCAAATTTAGGGGGAGTTTCTCTCAAATATATGGACATTAAATTAAGGGGGAGTATTCTCATGATCTCAATCACATACAAAGACTTCAATATCATGTCCATGATTCAACAAATTATATTTCTCAAGACTTCATAATTTTCATGGTTGTCATCATCAAAAAGGGGGAGAGTGTGAAGACAAGCTTCCAATGTCTTTTGATGAAGACAATCTCATTGATAAAGACAAACTCAACAATGATATGTTCACAGAAGGAAAAAGAAGAAATTCATAAGACTTTACTACACTTGCAAGATTGGATTGATCAAACTTTTAGAAATATGAAATTCTTGACTAAAACATTCTTAGTGCTTAAAATATTTATTATCTTATATATTGAAAAAATTATTTTTCATGTTTGAACCATATTAAATCACTTTCAAATATAATCTATTGACTTGGATAAGTCAATAGATGTTGCATAAGATTGGTTCAAATACTTAGACAATTTTTCAATTTTTCAATTTTTTCAAACATTCGGTTTTTGGTAAATAGTGACCTTTAAAATCGTCGTAACAACATAAAAAAACCGCCACAATTCGCACCAAAACAATATTTGAAATTTAAGTTTTGAAAAATGTTGTGAACTTGTTAAGTCAAGTATCCGTTTAACAGGTTTAACAAGTACTATATCAGAATTGAAAAATGTTTTGTTTGAATGCATCTTTTACATCATTTCTCTTATTAAATTTCATAATTTCTCTAACCATTGTCATGATCCTTGAATGGGTGTTTATATCATTATAAATTCATTTCAAATTTTCATTTTTCACTCGCCTTTCATACAAATATTAAAATCTCTCCACATTTATTTTCTATACAACTTTCATATTAGATACCTTTTTTTGAAATACATTTTCACATTATTGTCATAAAAGTATCTTAAGCACTTAGAGAAAATTTGTCTTGAATCTTCATACTTGAAAGAGAAGAAGACTTTGTTATAAGTTTTAAAGAATTCTACAAACTTTATTTATTTAAATACATTGTAATTGTTACAAGTTCCTTAGTATCAAAGATTATTTGGTACTAGGAGGAATCTATAGGAAGGTGGATTGTATCTTCTTATATAAGCCTTTACTTATTGTCTAGGATTGTTGGAAATAAGTGTGTTGTAAATCCAAGAGGATTGTTCTTGGTGGTTTTTGTTATTGTCTGTATAGGATCGTTGAACCAAGACAAAAGATTAAGTGGGTAAATATAGCCATCGATTTGTTTCAGCGATTTGGTGGTTCCTAAAAACTAAAATCGAGAACAAAACCAAACCACCTTAATTTTTTTAGATTTGAATTGTCGATTTAATTGATTTTTTTATTCGCTTATACCCCTAGTATCAATTATATCTTGTGCTTTTTTGTCTTATCAAAAAAGTTGTAAAGTCTGTTCTCATTCATTATATTACCAAAAAAAAAACATTGATAAGTCTTTATTTAGCCATAAACTCAAAACAAGCAAATTAAAAACAAAGCACAAACATTAATGTGCACTAACTTAGACTAGTTAAAGCCTAAAGCACATGTACACACTAACTCTTTTATTAATGCTTCAAATCAAACATAGCAGAAACTAAATCCCAACAGCAGAAGAACCCCGCTTAGTTCATCATTTGGACATCTTTGCAGCCAACTCTCGAACCAACTTAGCAGTAACAAGTGCCGTCATTCTATTAGAAACATCACGTAGTGGATTGTATTCAACAACATCTCCACCAACAATATTGCCTTTCAGATTCTGAAGAATGTTTAGAACATCTCTAAAAGAAAGGCCTCCTGATTCAATGTGAGACACACCTGGAGCATAGCCTGGATCAAGAGAATCAACATCTATTGATACATATATACCTTTTACACCTTCACCTGTACCAAGTGTCTGCATAAATAAATTTATCAAGATTTAATCATCAACGATAATTGTAAATATTGTTAAAAAAAAACAAGTGTGAGTTAGGAGAAAGAGAACAGATTCTCTAAATAGTCGCGGTCTTTTGCAAAATGTCTCATTTCATGTATCTCTACTCCGTATTTTTCGACTTGTTGTCTTCCAGCATCATTTATTGATCGTATACCAACCTATAATAAATAAACTAATGAGTTAGGAGCATGAAAAAACAGACATATGCAATTTATTTTACAAATTGTGAAATTAGTTTTAAATTTTGGTTGAGATTGCAATGCATATTGAAAAGTAATTGAAGCATATGGTTAAAACACCGATAAAAACTTTGGTGTTAAGATTTAATAGATGAATTAAGATTTAAAAGAATACCTGTATTAATCGATTGGCATATTTACCCTCCATGATTCGAGCAAAGGGTGAAGCATGTGAATAATAATTATTATCAAAATCTTCATAGAGATCCGGATGTGCATCAAAATGAAGAATGTCAACTGGTCCTCCAAGTTTCTCAGAGACAGCTCTAACAATAGGATATGATATTGAGTGATCACCTCCAACAATTAAGGGACGCAATGGAGCCTGCAAGAATAATAATCATAAGAATAAAGTAAATTGTGTAATTAATACCATAAAAATGATTAATAATTTTAAGAAGTATACATGATCCATCACTATCTTGACAGAGTCGCTAATAAAATTCATTAATTTGTCTTCATTGACTCCTAAATTTCGTAGATCTTGGATAGGGATATCGCCCACATCCGCAAACACACGCGGGTCAACTAAATTCTTGCCTGCAGAAAAAAAATGTGTAATTTGAGTTTATATTTAAAACTTTATTTTCTCCATTTCATATTATAAATAAATTTTACTTTTTAAATCTATTGAATAATTAATATATCTAATCTATATAAATTTTCTTAGTTGAAACGACAAAGATATATACCTTCTTCAGTTGTTGAGTTTGTGCTATCATTCCAAATGGCCTCCCTAACTAGAGGAGGAGCAAATGTCGGACCTTCGTGATATGATCCATTGTGTCCCAAAGGCACTCCCAGAAGAGTTGAAGTTGCTATAGCACCGCCCATAACAGCCCTCGCAGTTTCTCCCTAGACAAAATTAACCAACTTTCTAATTTTATATTGCGTCGAAAATTAGTGACGTAAAAATATTTCATCTCTAATTCTTTTGGTACCAAAATTTGAGGATGAAATTAAAAATTTCTATAAATATTTTTAATCACTTTGTACGTTTTAGTAGTTGTATAGATAGAAGACAGATGGTAATATTTTTTATTTTAAATCACATTTATTAATGGATGATTTTTACTATGGACTCAGCCCGAAAACAAATTTAAATATTTTTAATAAATTACATTAATGGATAATTTTTTTCTTTAAGATATGTAAGTGATGCATTGATCACAGTATCTTGACCAGCTTCTGTCAATTTTGTTACTCTTTCTTGAGCTTGGGAGAAACTGGAGCCTAATGGTGCTATACTTGACATCATCTTTAGCAACAAAACAACAAATAAAACATTAAGCATTTAATTTATATTTTGCGTTAATATTAACTAAAATAATAAAATATATAATGATTTTACTTACTTTATAATTTGCTTTTTCTTGAAGAAGTGAAGGTGAAGCATCTATCAAACGAGTTGCTTTGTCTAGTGTTTGCTTGAAGCCTCTGCGTGCTATAATTGACATCATTTTCTGCATGAAAACAGTTGAAATTTTAAAGATGTTGTTTTCTATTGTTAGAGAAAAAATCTTGTAGAACAAACATCTAGCTATCTTATCTTTGTATACTACATACCAATTTCTCTAATTGGCTATAACTTCAATGACCAAGCAAATGGAAGAACCTAGCTATTTATAATGTGGGAGATCACTTACATTTCTATTACTCTAATTAATGCGGCGTAATCTTTTTGACTTCTTTCATATCATTACGAATAAGAACAAATTACCTCACTCGTTTTCATGAATGAGTGAGTAATTCCGACAACAGATGATATAATCAAGAATTAGACGCACAATGTGATAAACGGGCGCCCATAACAATATGTGAGCGACTGTCCTAATTCAGTTATATTTGTACCCACCCATTCTTCGTGATGTTCTCCAATCCTAATTCAGTTAACCGGATACGAACGCTCATATCTCAAGCGGATTTGCTATGGTCGAGAACTTATCAAGGCTTTGGACATGGCAGTCACTCACCTATTTCTTTTGGAAATTGGTCACACGACCTTGTTCTTTATAGGGGTTCTAAAAAGTACTGGTTTGTTGTTCTTATTCCCTAACTTTTGCCTGGACAACGTCTTTTGATTTGACTTTGGAGTCCAGCGGGATGCCCCAGTTTTGCCTAAGTCTCCTTCATAGGTTTTGACTTAGCGGGCTTTTATTATTTTTTTGAATATTCTTTTATGCACAAGTCGTGTAAATCTTTCGAAAGGCTCGTGACTGCCCCACTCCTTAGGTAACCGAGGGATAGCCATTGTATTGGACTTCTTAAGATGCTAAGGATAAATTCTCGAAGGTTTGCTCTTCCTTTTTAAGAGTCTAAGCACTCGATCGGTTTAACTGAAACCTACCCTGCCCCAGGTTAGGATGAAGGTTCTTAAAAAGAAAGAAAAACTCCTACTTCAAGGCTCAAAGGGTTGACTAGGGATTAACATCCTTATATCTCCAGTGTTTGGGATTTGAAACAATGCCTTACATCATCAGCGGGTTTCAATCGAAAGCATACGACAAGGAATCTGCCATTTTGGGTTCGTCATCCTCCCCCTAATTCTCCATCAGAACAAGAGATCGGGTAAAGTTGGCATTATGATTTATGAAAACGTTTTTTTTTTGAATGAGTGAAACGAATGGATTTATTCAAGACAAACATATGCGTTGCATTAATTAATCGAAGATAAACAAGTTCGTACATGCTAAATATGCTTAATCAAAGAGAAATACATATAAATGAACTGTCGGAAAAATCCTTCTAAATGTTTATGAAATCTTGCATTCAAACGTAACAGTTTCCTTTGGCGGAGCCTCAATGGAAAGGACGTCTGGTTCATGATCACTGTGAGTCGTCATGGCTTGCCCCAGTTACGCTGGTCACATCTTCAACAGTTTTCAGTCGTTGCTTCAAAACAACTTTCCCGGATTCTTTGTTGATCTCGGTCATATCATCTTGAGGGTTACTGAAATGAAGCGAGCTAGGCCTTTGAATAATTACTGGATTCGGCTGATTCGTCACAGGAGTAGCATGCTTTGCAGAATTCGAACCCGACAAGTGAGGGACCCCGAGAGGAGTCTCGATCTTCATCTGAGCATCGCTAAAAGACAACTTCTTCGTTTCTAGCAAATTTCTGACAACTTTCTTAAGAGCATAGCAATTCTCTAGATCATGGCCGGGTGCACCCTCATGAAATAAATAATGAGCGGCAGCGTTGTAACCTGCAGGTAACGGATTAGGCGGAGGACCCAAAGCACGGGTGATAATCAGACCCTATTGTACCAAATGGGGGTATAACTCAGTGAAGGTCATCGGAATTGGAGGACAAGACTTATACTGCCTCTTACGGGGATAAGGAACCTGATTCTGTGATTGTTGGTGAACAGGAGCATTGGGCACTCGTTGACTGTTGACAGAAACTTGCATGGGCGGATAACCGGAAGGTTGTTGATAAATCGGTGCTTGATATACCGGAGCTGACTGCACAGGCTGGTATGTAGGAAACTGTTGGTCGAAAGGAGGTGCAACAGTAGCTACATAGGGTTGCTGAGCATATGGAAACGGATAACCTTGAACATAACTCTGCTGATGTTGCCAAGGTTGAGGAGTAGCCATTTTGCGGTTCCTCGAACGTGTAGGTCCTTTACCATTGTCGGAGTTAGGAGTTTTGCACTTTGGAGGGGTAGCTCGTCGAACTGGTTGAGCACTAGGAGGCACCAAACCGGATTGAAGACCGTGAGGAGGTACATTCTCGACAGTAACAGCTGGTTGAGATTCCATAACGGTATTAGTAGTCTCAGAAACAACAGTAGACTGAGCATCCACCTTCACACTAAGAGCTCGTAGCATCTCCAAAATATGCCCTACACTTCCTCGAAGATCTTCGAGTTCATGGCTGACACGGTTGATCTCTTGGTTTTAATCTTCCATCCTTATGAAGGGTCGTATTGATGCAGAGAACTCAGGGTGACAAAACTGGAAGGTGAGAGAACCGAGTATGAGAAATCGGGAGACACATGCAATGCAAAAGTATGATGCTAAAATGTGAATGCAAATGAAGATTTCATGGAATTCAAATATTTACGAATATTGCGGAATACCAAAGAAACTTTTAATTCATCGAAGACAAATTACAAAACAATATTCTTGCAACCAAAATAGCTAAATAAAAGCCTAGAAAATCCTAGAGAAGCATCTTCCACAACTTCAATGAGCAGACGGAGATTCGGAGAAAAATAAATATTCGTAGAGCCTTCCCTTCTTATAGGATTGTATTTCATCATTCTTCGACTGAATCTGCTTTTGAAGTTCTTCGTACTTGCTGACCATCACATGGTATTTGTTCTTCCATGATTCTGTTTCGCGTTGTGATCTCTTCAAAGTGATCTTCAAAGTCTCAGCTTCAGTCATGAAATACTGGACAGGCTCCTCTCTTTGAGGTACAGGATCTTGGCGAGAGTAGGGCATCTTCAACTCAATAGCTCTTCCTCGGACCCATTGAAGGTATGGTTCCATGGACACACAATTAGGTCTTCCCAAACTTTCTTTGTCCTTCCTATGCAGATGATTCCAAGAGGATAGAATCTGATCTTGAAGCTTTTTGTCGTCTTTGAAAAAGATTTTCTCCACATGAATACCTTTAGGCGGTTCCTTCAAGGGGTATCCCAACTGTCGGCGAGCTAAGACCGGATTGTAGCTAATTCCTCCATTGAAACTGAGCAAAGGCACATTGTTGAAATTTCCACAACTATCAATGATCGATATCCCATCGTACATGCGATTATACCAATCAATATCAGAGTGAGTTAAAGCCATAACTTTTTGCGACCAACGTTCTTGATTAGGTCTCCAGAACGGACCGGACTTGGGTAAGTGAGAAATAAACCATTTGTATAGTAATGGCACACAACATGTAATCATTCCTCCACCATGAAAGTTTCGGAGATGTACTGAATGATAAGTATTAACCAATAGTGTTGGAACCGGATTTCTTCTCATGAAGGTCTTGATTGCATTAAGGTCCACAAACCCCTCAAAACTAGGAAAAAGCAGCAACCCATAAATAAGCAAAGCAAATATTTTTTCAAAGGCAAACCTGTCTTTATGATCGGCATAAAATTGGGCCTTCTTAATTAGGAAGTCCCTAAGAAAACCGGAGGTCCCCCCTTTGGTGATCATATTGTTTTTAACATCGGATATCCTTAGACAAATGGCTTTAGCAATATCTCGTTCTTTAGGGTCTTCCTCCAAGAAAGGGAATGGAGATTTATCCAAGATCGGTAATCCCACCAACTGAGAGTACTCTTCTAAGGTAGGCAAGAGCTGATAATCTGGAAAGGTGAAGCAGTGATAATTTGGATCATAAAACTGTAGCAAAGTCACAAGAAGTCCTTCGTTTACTTGAACCTTCAACAAAGACAATAGCCTTCCATATCTATTTTGGAACTTTTCTTGATCTTGAACCAAATCTCTTAGCTTCTCTAGGACTTCCAAATTAAAACCCCTAAAAGTAAATTTCAAAGTATGCCTTCTGGAGTGATCCATGGTATCTTGCAATGTTCATAAATAGAGTTTGAATTCCATGAAATCTTAATGCAATATGATGCTTTATGGATGCAATGCATGAAAACACACAAAGTCCTAGGTTAAAGGTACGTGAGCGGAGTTAAGGTCTACCCATCCCCAAAAGGAGTGTACTATAGGTTAGTTGTACCTGCAGAACAAGGTTCTAAAAGGTGCCCAAAGTCATCAGCCCATCTTTCGGATATTATCAACTTTCTGATTGACTCGGGGGTTAATAATATTCTCAAGAGAACCTCTTTTGAGTGTAGTATCGCGTAGCAACCATTGTAGGATTACTCCCACATAGTTCCCGCACTACGTCCTAAATAAGGCCAAGGTGGTGTTAAGGTACTACGGTCCTCAATATCACAGACTCTAATCGACCATGGAAAAAGTTTTCACGACTACTCGTTCAACCGAACCATTTTCGAAAGGGTCTCAACTGAGCGGTGATTCTCGAATCAGCTTGGTCGGGACTCACTCCCTATAAGCCTCATCGAATATATCCCCATCCTATAATAATGTCACTAGTCCGGGCGTAGGACTTATCTCACAACACAAGGAACAGTCCCAAAATCAAAGTACAATATGTACATGCAAATGAATAGTAACGCAAATAGTAATAAACATGAACAAATTAGGGGTAACCCTCAAAAGTTTAGATTCCCCAGTGAAGTCGCCATTTTCTGTTGCGGTGGAAATAGGATCACAAACTATTAATGAGTTTGAATCGCAATTCAATTCACAACCGCTCTTTGATTTATCCGAAGGAAAAGGTCAAAAGAGGGAAAACCTATTTTTGCATCGTAAACACAATGCGGGGAAAGATCTAGGGTTCGGGGGTTGGTTAAGATTTAGGGAAGGTATTAGCACCCTAAACTTATGTAGTACTCTACAGGAACCTTTTGTTCAGATGTTTACT